ACCATTTAGAACCATAAATATAATTTCCATCCCTTCGCTTTGCGATTTCACGTGGTTTTTTTGTGTTCTAAATTTTTTATTAAGTATATTATTCTGTCTGATGTTTAGACAATATGAACTTATTTTGAGGCAACAACCAAAACAATCGAGGATGTGTGGCATAGGTGAGAAAGGTAAGATATGAAACCTGGATTCTTACCAAATTTGAATGGATTGGGATGATCACCATTAGATTTTGCTTTTTTGTCTCTCAATATGGTGAAAAAAATTAAATATCATTCACCAAAAAAAAAAAAAAAAAATTATAATGAAGTACTCGCCTTTTTAATTTTTAAATAATATACAGTAATTCCGAATTTTTTTAATTGATATGGTCTTTATTTAGTTTCTATTTAAGTGGGAGTTGAAAATTTCATAATTGGCCAATGATCACTTGTCCGACGACAATGCTATCCATAATTTAAAAAAAAAATAAATTCGTAATTTATATATGTTAATTCATTCAACAGCTGATAGACGTCCAATTGATCCTCCACCAATAATACAACTCAAAGTGTATGATGCCAGCTTACCACAATCCGAAAAAAGGTATTGTGTATATCTGTATATCACATGATTTTCTCGTGATCATCCTGCGCCAAGTCAAAAGTTTTAATACTCCTTGATGTTTTAGTTCCTTTCTTCAGAATCCATACTTCTTCATGTATGCATCCCTGGTGGCACCTGATACTGATGAAGAATTACATTTATTGAGAGACGGAAAAACTCGTTCTACAACAGGCTCAGTCGTATCTTCTTTATATCATCTTAAAGATATCGATAATTCGGATGCCGGATTTTTCGTATTTCCCGACCTTTCTGTGCGTATGGAAGGAACTTACCGACTTAAACTCAGTCTTTTTGAAATAATTGGGTATTTATATATAAAACTTTTTTTTTATTATCGTGTCAATCTTAAATATCGTTAAGAGTTATCTATCCTTCTTCAAGTTTATAATTATTTTTTCATTTGTAATTTCGAATTTTGAATTTTACAGAAGAGAAGTTTATCATTGCAAGTCAATCTTTTCTGATATCTTTATTGTATATTCCGCAAAACGGTTTCCCGGCATGGAAGGTTAGTTTCATTTATTATTGTCCATTCCAGGTCATGTAAACTCGAACTCATTCGTAAATTTGACTTTTGACTATCTAGAGTCCACATTTTTATCAAGATCATTTGCTGATCAAGGTTTAAAAATCCGAATAAGGAAAGAAATCAGAATACGAAGGTTATTTGTGGGTTTATATGTGGCGATTTTTTGATCCTCGTATCAAGATTCTCACAAATAAATTTAAAATAAAAATAAAATAAATTTTCATTTGATCCCCCCTAAAAAAAAAAAGAAAAAAAAATTGTTTAATTTGCTGTTTGTACTAACATCTTTATTATTTTATCATTCTTATCATCATTTTTTTAAAAACTCTGTATCATCTATCTAGGCGGTTAGCAAAACGTGATAGGAAGGAACTAGAGTTGATCGATCATTCTAGATTGAAACGTCCACGTCCTGATGGTAAAAGGGATGATGACAGTGGAGAATCATCTGATGCGGATTTACATACTCCAACTGCCGATGATACACGTTCAAAATTAAGTCCAGAGATAATACATTCAAGCTATGACAAACGTAAAGATCATACCAGCATAAGTCCATCATCCCCGCGTCGAATGTACGAACATATGCCACCTCATATTCCACATTATGATCCAAACACACCAATGTACGGACCAGGGCCAGGATATCCGCCACATCGACCTCATTCATGGCATGATCGCCCAGATTATATGACAGATCCTCATTACTCTCCTTATTATGATCCGTATGATCGAAGATATGGCTATCATCCATATTATTACCCACATCCTCCCCCACCAATACCTGATGGTTCTGATCACCATCGTTATCCATATCCAGCTTACGGTAGGCCACCAATGTATCCGGGACAACCCGCACCCGGATATTATGATACACCCCCAAGAGTTGGTCATCCACCAAGCGATTCTCCGGGATCTGTCAGACCGTACGGATATGATCCATCAGGTTCTTATCCGCCTCAACGTGCGCCTTGGCCGCATTATGGCGAACGTTCACAATCAAGGGATCCTAACTTGGAACCATCATCATCTCAATATCGTGGAAGTGCTCCCGTGACACCTCCACCACCCCGTGGACATCCAATTTATCCATATTCGGATTATTATGCTCCATATGCACATCCTCCGATTCCACCACCACCGAAAACAGCGGAATACGCCCCAGTTCCACCAATTGATACTTCTGGTGATCCTAATAACCCACAATCTAAAATACCAATCCAAAACTTATTGTCAAACGAGCAACAGCAGAATCAACCACAACAGCAACAACAACAACAACAACAACAACAATCATCATCTCAATCATCTCAACCAAATACCGAACACAGTGCTACTGCACCACCCGCTCCCCATCCATCAAGAATGTATGGTGCTCCTCCTTCTGCATTTGCTCATATTTATCGACCACATGAATATATGAGACATGATCTTTATGGCAGACCCCCATACGATGTAGGGTATCCACCACGTGATGTCGTATCGCCATATGGCACTCTTAGTAGTAGTGCTGCCATTAAATCACCACCAGTGTCACAATCATCACATTCCCAACAAGGTGATACCGCACGTACTGCTCTAATGTTGCCACCAACCTCTACACCAATGACCCCTTCATCAACAGAAAAGTCAAGGCATAATATTGATTACAATAATCCATACGAACGTCGTTCTACATATTCGGGTGAACCTTTAGCATCCACCAGTAACCCGAGTGCTGCACCAGCTACAAATCCTAGTTCAACATCATCATCACAAGCGTCATCATCCTATTCAGGCATGCCAATAATCCCAACGGCAACTCGTACGACAGTAACTCTACCTTCGTTAGTTCCATTGACCTTAAGCGATCGTAACGAACGTTTTGTGGCGAGTTCTAGTAGTCCTGCATATCATTCAGTCACGTCCGCTTCACCATTACATACTACTACTCCTAGCTCGCAGCAAATAAATTCACCACAATCACAAACACCTAAGCAATCTTATGAACATCCATATTCTCATTCCGCATCGAATTCACAAAACCGAGGAACCTTTGGTATGACCTCTAGTTCAGACGGTAACGGAGGTAATAATAGTAGTAAGAACAATGGTGTAAAACCCAATTTGAGTAGTGGTAGTAATGAAAAATCTTCGCCACGGGCCGCGGGTTTTGAAGGTAATTACCCGTTAAGACGACAAGGTGGTGATGCGGAAGGTGAGAGGAACGTTAATGAAAGTGTTGGTGGTGGTGGTGGTGGTGGTGGTGGAAAGTATTAATTTAATGGTACACGCGGGCAATAAAAATTACTCGTTGAGATTAGCGGTGGGCAAAGTTTTGTTGTGGTTTTTTTTTTAGGATACTGAATTCTTCTTTCGGTGTGTAAACAAAGACGTTTAAAGGTGTTGGCTTATTTGTAGATTTCCGATATTATCAAAAACCTAATGGACTTCAAGTACATAAACTGAAGAAAAACATTTTCGCAGCATATAAACACCAAAAATGAAATTTGAATTTATTTTGATCGTGGATTAAAATGCTTGGAAAACACCTTTCGTACAGTCATTTAAACAATTTAAGCATATATTTATTCCTTGACAAAATATATGTATATATATATATATATATTACTTTTGTGTCACTCTGTACATTCTTTGCATCCTCAAAAATGTCTATATACAAATACATGGGTAGTAGTAAATTATTTTGGGTAAAAAATATTATTTATCTTAATTAACATAACAAATAGTAAAAAATTCATTTGGTGGGGAATGAGAAAAATAATTAGTTTTCTTGTAAGTTTTTTTTTTTATTTATTCAACATTGATACCTTTTGTTTATAGTTTCTTTTTGTATAAAAATCTTTTTTTATTATTATTATTATTATTATTTCAAACTTTTTATTTAGTCTCATTAAAAGATTAATTATATATATACACAATATATTTGATTTTTTTTTTTTTTAGATAATTCGTTTTTAAAAAAAAATAAAAAATTTAAAAATGTTCAAAATTTTTTTGTTTTTTTTTTGACGTGAAAAATCTCATTTTTATAATTTTTTTTTTTTCATAATACAAAGTTATTATACAATTGACAATAATTATAAACTTTCATTGCCAATTATTTTTCTTAACTTGGTTTAAAAATAGGGCTTTCTTTAAGATGAATTGGAGGTTTTCCCTGAGGGGTCCCAGGAATAACTTTTTCTAAATTCTAAAAATATAAAGTGTTAAAAGAGTTTTTTTTTTTTAATTTAGAAAAGAGATAATTACCAACGCGTTAAATACACAAGTATTAAATGTCTTCTCTTGTGGTCTACATTGATAATATTCCTGATTATTTTTATCCAAACACTGCCAATGAGCTTCAAATTCTTTATCACAATTTTCACGTAACTTACGAAGCCTAAATGAAAATTATAAGAAACTTTCTCAAAAACTGCATATATATATGTGTGTGTGTGTGTGTGTTTATACATATATATACTTACAGCTCGATAGTACACCTTGTAACTTTTCTACCTTCTTTTAAGCAATGTTTTGGATCATTATTTTCATTTTTGCAAAGCATATAATCATCATTAAAGTTTTTACAATAAGCACCAATAAAAAAAGCAGCAGATTTTAAAGGAGCAGAAGTCGTTCCAACGTCATCTACTCTTGGTATATCTTCTGGTAAGGGAGTTTCGTCTTTAAAAGGTACATTTGAAAGAAAAGGATGTTGATTTGTTGCTGCCATAAATAATTAAAGAAATTGTCAAAAACGAGAAAAAAAAAAAAATTTCTCGGAACTTTATATCGATTTTTTTTATCAATTTGTGTAACTGATCAACATTTTTTTACTGGTGAAACTTTATTAATATTTGCAATAAATTGATCAAATTTAAAGTTTTCCTTCATTTATTTTAAATAATTTTAAGACGTTTTTGTAAGCTTCTATATCAAATAAATCCCATTTCTCCGAGTTAGTATATGAAGCAACTTCTAAACTAATATCAGAAATAATCTTAAAAGTCTCATCATTAAATGAAACTCCATTATATTTCATTTCATCCAATAACCTTTCGATTCCCTTTATATCTTTCCAAAATTCCCATCTAATTAATAATATTTGATTATACACTCTTGTAGAACAACCCAATACATAAGATAATAATCCCCTTCTTTTTGTTTGTTCAAATATTGATAAAGCTAAATGAGGATCTTTAAATTTAATATTACACAATAAAATTGATTGATTTAATAACATTTCATATCTAAAGGGAAATGGTCTATTGAAATCATCAACTACGCGCTTTGATTTAATAGAATTCTCATGATCAACTCCAAAAATATTTTTAGAAATGATCTCTTGAAATCGTATTTTTGCTTCGCATTTTAATAATTCATTTTTGATTTCTATTGCTTCATTCTCCGGTTCATTAAATACATTTGATAATGATGATGCTTCTTTCATCGACTCATTTGGTACATCATGCTCTCGTTCTAATTGAATCCCTTGTTGTTCGCTCACCGGTTGTTGTTTTTCACCTCGTCGCATTAAATCATACAAATATTGTTCAATTGTTGATGACTTTGATTCTTCATTCATCGTGTCTAATCTCGAATCTTTCCAACGTTCATAATTTTTACTATCAAGGAGGGTACGAAAGATTCTATGGAAAGCGCCCTCATTTTTTTCAAAAGGTATAAATCTTTTTTGACTCTCTCGATAAATTTCCTCTCTTGATGACTGTCGTTTTCTAGGTGGTGGTGAATACCTATCATACCTATCATGATTATCAAAAGATGATGGATGACGTTCGCGTTCTTTCTTCTCTTCTTCGATCACAGTCTCAAATAAGAACTTCCATTCATCAGGTGATGAAGCTTCGGGTGATGAAGTTTCAAATTCGTCCCGTTCAGATTGCTGACTTATTAACTCATCATCTTCATTTGCGGCATCTAATCGATTGGAATTTAAATTATCTGGTAAAACTTGCGCCGTAGAACTACTTGTAATATATCTATCTTTTCCTCTTGTTGTATGTGAAAAGATTCTCAATATATTATTCCCTAGAAAATTATTTCCTTTTTTTTTTTTTTTATTTGAAAATTACCTATCAAATCGAATATATTAAGTATGAAGTACCTGAATGTCGATTTCTAATAAGTTGGAACATGATGGTTTCGTAAAAAAAAAAAAAAAAAATCAAGGATGATCTATTTGAGCTAACCAATAAAATTTGATAACCAAAAATCTGTAATTTGGGTTGATTACCTAATTAGTTAGCTATAACCTAGTAATTATCACAATTAATATGACACGTGAAGATTAGTAGTAACTTTAACCAGATGCAATAAAGGAATTTACCGCCTTACCTCGTTTTTTCATACTCAATCTAGAAATATTTTATTTAACTTAATAATAGTATCATAAGTGTTGGAAGAATCTTGGCGTCAAGAATTTAAACAATGTGATAACCACCATTAACAACCAAGCCGGACATACCAGTTCAATCGCATTCATAGAAACCAGTGGTATCTTGACGCTTAATGGAGGATGTGCCCCAACATTTCACCAACCAAGTACTTAAGTGTCAACATGCCAACTCAAAATGATAATGTTAAATTGTCACTTTTCGACTTTTTGATATTTTCCTTAAGGTATTCGAGGTTTTTAACATAGGAGGACATGTGCTCTGTGAATCTACCTTTTACGCATTTTTATATAAGAAAGATAAAGAAAATCGCACTTTTTTTACGCGTTTTATTCTGATCACAGATGTTACTAATCAACATAATTTCATATAGAAAAAATAGTCCACTTTCTTTTTAGATGCCCAGGTCGAACAACAACATTTTTCTCAAATATTTTTGCATTTACTAGTTTTATGATCTGTGGAGACAAGCAAATTTGTTTCGCAATACTAATTTTCCATATCATGTCTATATTTTATACTTCAATACAATTGTTAATAAGTTCATCTTTATTTAATTTAAAATAATGGATAATATACTGTAAACGCTATCAACTAAAGAAAAATAATAATTACAGTCAAAGCTCTCTAAATGCATCCCGGATATATGAGTGCATTTAGAGAGGTATGCATTAAGAGCAAATGTAATATTTAATAAGTCTTTTACAATCCTGTGCAATATATTTATTTATTTTATTATAATTATATATCGGATAAATCTTTCAAGAATATTTACAGATTTTTAATATTCATAGCACCTTCTAGTTGAAGTAAAAATACACAAATATTTTCTAAACTTTTTATTCAGAGTTTATATTAACGATTTCTATTTTAACACTATCATCATCTAGGTTTTCATTATCATCAACTTATTTTTAAATATGTATATAAGTTTTATAATATATTATCATCATCTAAAACTTTATTTTCTTCATAAAGGGATAGAAACTCTTTTACTTGTATATCATTGAAAAATTAAAATCTTTAATTGCATTAGTAAGTTCTTCAAATTGTAATTCATTTTCTTTTAAATCTTTGACATTTTCACTAGCAGAAATAAGTTTAGTATGATTTCAGTAATTAGGAATCATATTAGCTATAATTTTATCTTAAGCTTGAATAACTGTAAAGTATAATAGCAAATTATAATAGAATTAAAATAACAATATATTGTCAAACTTAAAAAAGTTTTGGCTTATAAATTATAATAAAACTTTAGTTTTATGATTTAATTTAATATACAATTAATATTAATAATTTTATTATTTATTTTAGATTATCATACATATAAATCTATAAAATAATAAAAAAATTCTTTATTATATATTAATTTTGATTTTTTATATTATACAAAATTTTAAATTATTCTATATTTATACTTTTTTAAGTATTATGATAATATCAAAACTAATTATTTTTTTTAAAAAAAAAAATTAATATTAAATTCTTTTTTAGACTTATTTATAAATGATTTAATACTAAAAAAATTTGTTATCTATAAAATAGTAAAATTTAATGATCTTTTTTTAAAAGAATGTTTAATATTAAAATTTTAATATTAAATATTTTCTTTATAGAATTTATCTTTAAACAATTCAAATCTAGTATTCTGAATTTAAATGATGAAAAGTTCATTTAAAATTACCAAAATAGAATAATAAACTTTTGAATATTACTGATAACTAACTATAAAAAGTTAAAATTTATTGAATTTATGATTTTTTTTTTAAAAAAAAATTGTTAGAAAATCAAATTCTAAAAATTTTAATTATTAATATTATTAAATTAAAATAAAATAAAATCTTAATTTTAGTCAAATCTTTTTAAACTCTGATTTTCTTAGTAATCTTTTTATTTAACATTAAAATTTAATATTAAATAATTTTTTTTTATAATTTATTTTTAAACAATTAAAGTTTAGTATTTTAAGCTTAAATAATAAGATATTTATCTAAATTATTAAAACAGAAATAATGATTTTTAAATTAAGAATATTATTAACATTTGTTTATAAAAAGATACAATTTAATAAATTTATTATCTTTTTTTTTAAAGAAAATTTAGCATTAAATTTTAATTTCAAATTTTTTTTATAAAACTTATTTTAAAATAATCTAAAATTAAAAAAATTTAATATTTATAAATTTTTTTTTCATAGAAGATATATAAAATAATCTTATACAATTTTTTGTTTATATTTTTATTATTTTTCTTTTTCTTTTATATCACTTTTTATTTTTTATTATACTTAATAAAATTATGGTTAATAATTTAATAATAGTAAATTTCCTTAAATTATCTAACAAATTTTCCTATAAATTTAATAAAAAAAGTATTAATTCTTAATAAAATATTAAATATTTATTTAATAATATAATAATTATATAAAAATATATTAATATGTTTTTTATTAATTTAATAGAATAATTTTAAGGTTTTAAAAGTTTTTAAAGTTTTTAATTTAAAATTAAGTTTTAAAATTTATTTTAATATTATTATATAAATAAGATATAGATAATGATAATTAAAAGAATAATATTGATTACTAAGAAATTCTATATTTCTTATACATCTTCTATATTATTTATGATATATATTATTTTTTTTATTTTATCTATTTATTTTATTATATTTATCTCATATATTATATTTATTTCTTTTATTCCTTTAATAACTTTATATATTTTATTTTATATAAATAAATGATATTTTCTTTTAGCTTAATAGTGTGTCTTGTATATAGTATATCTGATAAGTAATTTTATTAAATAGTTTACTTTAATCTCTTTAACATACTTGTATAATACATAAATTGACTAAAATAATATTCCATTATTATCATTATTAAATAAACTATCAACTAATTAACATTTTTCTAAAAACTAATTATAAAATAAACTTTCTACTTACCATCTAAAAATATTGCTTCATTTATCACTTATAAGCAACTTAAAGAACTAACTATAATACTTGGTATCTTCTACCAGAAATTTTAATCAATTAAAAGTATAATTTATTATATAATTATTATAGTTAAAAATGAATATTATTAATAGAAGACAATATTTTATTATTTTTGAAAAAAACTGAAGAATATTGTATTTCAATTGCATATTTACAAAATATTCAAGTAACTTTAATTATTTTTATTAAATAACATGAAAATAGAAAGATTTATTTATATAGACATAAATTTGAAGTAAATAGTGTTAAATTAAGAATTCTTTTAAAAATAAAATATGAAGATAATTTTTCTATAATAACATTAGAAAAATATTAGCAAGGTCTTTTTGAATTAAATAAAAAAATAAAAGATCAAAAAAGTTACATAACAAAAATAAAAGAAAATATTAATATTTGAAAACACAAAAGAAGAAATTATATAATAATCTTTTGAAATAATAGAAAGTCAAATTCAAAATACTAATTCAGTGAAAAGTCAAGAAAGAGAAAATAATTTAAATAGAAATATTAAATTAAAATATCAGTTAAATATAAATTTTAAAAATTTTCTTAACAAGATTTTAGTAAAACTCAAGATATAGATGATATATACGATAAAATATTTGAATTATATCAGAAAGAAATAGAAAATACTAAATGTAAAGATATTAAAATAGATTCTAAAAATAATATTTAGCTTACTCAGAAATATGAAAATAATAAAGAGATAAATATTAAAGAAGAATTAAAGTTAATATTTAAAAGTTTAAAAAAACTAATGATATTATTAAAATATTTATAACAAAGTATTGTATCTTATTTAAAAAAAACATTGTAAAGTTACTATTATAATGTTAAAGGATTTTATGATATAGAATACTAATAGAAAATTAGAAAGAAAAAGAAATTATATTTAGAATATAAAATATTTAGAAATTTATAGAGTTTAATATTTTGATTATATAATATATAGTAAAATGAATTTTATTATTATTGAGAAAGAAAGTAATAACAATAGTGAAAGCAAAAGTGTTAATAGTATAATTAATAGCTCTTAAAATAATTATAATAATAGTATTCATTCTTATTACACTCAACTCTTGTTATAACGAACTCTATGTCCTAGACCTCAACTTCGCTATAAGGCTATAGTGAAGATTTTAAGAGATT